GAAAAAACTGACACCACTGAGAAAAGTATTACTCAATAAAAGCTGAAATTTCACCAAGTTCCATGATCACCATTGCAAGTCAATTGAAGGAAAGTTCATCAATTAAATTATTTATTTTATCTCAGTTAATCTTATTGGATATAACACTCAAATTATGTTTTTAATCACATTCTGGAAGAAGTTTTCTCCATCTGGAACAGCTGCCTCTCTCAGCAGGTCTCTCTTGAGCTCAGAACATGAAGAGAAGAGGGGTAGCTCAAGAAATGATTCCTAAAGATTATTTTCTGCAATAATGCAGAATAATACAGAAAACATTCATTTTCTTTGAAAAGAAAATAAAAAAGGAAACAGTTATTTAATTTTCTAGTTTGTTCATACAGAAAAACTCCAAACAATCAAAAACCCAAATAAGTGGTCAAAAGACCTGGATCTAGAAACTCCACAAACAATTTTTACCCTGGGATCAAAGCAGCATCCAAAAAGATTTGGCAGCAAGGGCATCCCATGGTTTGGGATGTATGTACCTGATGTATGAGCAAGTGATTAGAGGGAGGGATGCCTAAAGCTTTTTACAACATCTACAATAAACCCATAAAAACTCACTCCCTGGCTCTGATTTCATTCACTGATACATTGGGCCATCATATAAAGAACCTGATGCAGTAAAATTCTGAGGAACTCCCAAATAACTGTCTGGGACCTGTTAGAACTGGTGGAACTTGACAAAATAAGAACCTTTCATTTTCCTCAGGCACTGATGCTGAGAAGGCAAAACTTTTCACCAAGGACAGACAGCAATATTTTTCAGACCATCCTGTGCTCCATCAAAAACAAGTCCTGCAAGGAAGATCTGAAGTGCATTACACTGTGCTAGTAGCAAGTTAGTAAAAAAAGGCAATACACCTGAAAATGTATTATAAAATCCTTTATGTCTTGGCTAGTTTTTGCTATTCCCACAGCAAAAACAGCTCATCCTGTCTTTTTCATTAAAGGACTTTTTTTTTTTTTATGCAAAAGCTTCTTACAAAATTACATGTTTGGGACTTGAAACTTCTAGAAATTCACTTTTTCCCAGACTAAGATGGGAAAATATCCTTCTCAGGAAAAAAAAAAAGAAAAAAAGAAAAGAAAAAAAAAAAGGTGCTTTGAAAAGCTGTAAGCATCTGAAATCAACATGTTTTGACAGATCATAATTTTTAATGTCAGCAGACCTAAAAGATGCTTGCAACAATCCAGATGAAAGAACAGTGCAATGAAGGTTTATTACAGCAGACTTTTTTCCTTTTTTAAATTTCCACAAGGTGCTTGTTTTGGCATCTGAGAAAGACCTAATAGCACACATATCCTAGCTCCTGCTACTTTTTTTTCCAAATATTACATTTCTTTTCCAGGAAGCATGAGCTGCTGGTGTGAGGAGAAGGAGAAGGAAGGTGAGCAGGTCTGACTGGGTTCTGTCCATGTCACTTGGTGTCTTAAGTTCTGGTCAGTTTTGGATGTCATCTTGTTTTGTCAGTGCCAGACATCTCTGTTTATCAGTTTGATTGAAATTAACCCGTGTGGTCCTTACCCTACCAAATACCCCTGTGCAGGAGTCATGGGACAGTGGGAAACCCAAAATGCTCAAAAATTTGCTCATTAACTTCTCTCAAAGCTGAGTACTGCTCTGAGCAGGAGTTTGGGAGAGACAAGAATATGCAGTTTGTGATCTGATATCTCATAAGGAAGCAGCAGAGGAGTTGCTTGAATATCCCAGCCTCTAATGTGTTGAATGGGCACCGAGGCTGCTCATTCCCTGCCATCTGCTGAGTGAGGATTCAGAGCACTGTGGAGTTCTTTCAGCTTGACAGATCCAAAGACACTTTCATCTGGGAGAAAAGTGCCCTCAAGGGGGAAGTGGTAGCAGATAAACCTTCTGCTAAGACTGTGCTTGCTGGCATCGTGGCCATCACTGAGGAGCACTATAGAGAAGTGGGATTAGAGCAAAAACTGCTGATGTGTTTGAATGAGATGTATGCAAGACTGTTGGTCAAGCAGTTCCCTAAAAGTGCATCTATTCCAGGTGCATGCCATGATTGGTCTCCACAGGGGGTAGGGATGAGCCAAAGGGAAGCAGATCACAGAGTCTGCTTTTGGCATCTCTGCATTTTGCTCGCACAGCCACACACGAGCGTGACCTTAGGCTGCCATATGGATGGGGCATCCTTATGAGGTAGATTTTTCACAGCCTGGGTGGGCAAATGGAGCACCAGGAAAGAATGCCAGCGCAGGAAGCCAAGGGCTTGCTCAGCCCAGAGTGTCTTCAGGGGTGGCTAATTCCATCTTTGGCCCAAGAGGACGAACCCTGGGCAAGCAAAGCATTGCTGAAGCTGCCTGGGAGACACAATCAGTTTCCACCATTTCCAGTGAAGGGTTGTGGGAGCAGCAGAACAATGTCACCTCTGCACCCATCCAGCTGCTCACCAGAGGCAAATGCACACTCCTGAGGTTCAGCTGCCTGTGCCCCAGCCCAGCTGTGGTACAGCTATGTGACCTTGGATCTGGCTGCTAGGAAAGAGCTGGGAAAAGCCTCACTGGGAGACTCTTCTCTTCCCTTGGGAGCCACCCTTAAGACCCTCAGCTTTGGTGTTTGCACGAGCTACAAAGCAGCCGTGCCTGTGCCTGGCCATGCACACCATGCACTGATGCACACCAGGGTCCTGCCTCATTCCTCCAAATTTTCCTGGCTGTCACTGACCAGATGGCAGCTCCTGCTCACTGCCCCTCAGGTCCTGTGACACTTTTGCATTCAGGTGCTACAGGGCTGCACCCTGGTTGGTGAGACAGCCCACCCCACCCTGCCCACCCCATTGGTTCCCAGATTACCTCCCCATAAGGAGCATCATTCAACTCCCAGCTGTAGCTTCCTGCTCCATCACACCAGTCAATGGTGGGCACTCCAGAGAGGGAATAGCTAAGCCATGGTTATTTATCACTTGCTTAAATCAACTGAATTTAGGGACCTGTTTCTGGTGCTTGGTAACCAGAAGAGAACCACTGTGCATTCATTATGGGTGGGAAAGGCTTGTGCATTTGTTTTTGCTGTCAGGAAAATATTGCCTCCTGTAACCTCCAGAGATGTGTCCTGCTTATCTTCACATGACTTAGAAACCAGAAGATTCATCACTTCCTAGAAAGACTATCATACAACCTAAAAAAGTCCTAGCATTAGGAAATACTAAGAAAGAAAATATTTTCTGGGAGGAAAAGCTTTTAATCAGAAGCCTGTGAACTGAGCTGCTGACAAAATAACAGATTCTATGCTTAGCTGGGAAGTATTTTCTGCCTTTGAAAGCGATGGACCACTGGAAGTGGGACCCACAAAAATCCCAGAGAAACCAACCAACCAACATGTTCCAGGGACCAGCTTCTCTATTGCCAGAGCACAAAGACCACCAAAAGCCAGAGTAACCAGGACATTTGAGTTGACATGTACATTCCCACCCAATGGAAAACACCCCATGGCTCCTGAGTAGCCTGGGGATCCTCATGGATCTACCTGTTGCCTCGTGGTTTGTTGCAATTGCAGTAAAGCTGCCAGGGAAAATTCCATGAGTGTCCACAAAGGCAGTTTGCTGTCTATAGAGAACTACCTTTGTGTTAATTCACAGAGACCTGATCTCCATTGATTTTTTCCACGGTTCGACCTGTATAAAAGGTCACCATAATATAAAAAAATAAAGTTCTATGTGTATGGAAAATCACGCTGTGAAAAGCCAGTGTCCATAAAGAAGATAGAAGAATCCTGCAACTTTATTCAAATAAAGCGAGAGAGTCTACCAGGGCACATTCCACGGGGTTTTCTCTCTCGAGGTTTTGGAGGGTGCAGCCTCCAGTTTTATCCTGTACTCCCAGCTGCATGTCACCCTCTTCCTTTCCCCTCTGGTTGAGGTACAAGGAAGGTCCAGCCTTCCCAAACCACCTGCAACATTGTCATGTTACCCCAAAGTTCAGGAACTCAGGTTACGTGGGCCCATTTGTCTGGTTCAGGAGTAAAACTGTCCGGGTTCTGCAACAAACCAGAGGCTTGAAGTTGATAGAGACATTAATACCCATTTCAAAGACGTTAACACCCATGCCTTCACCCATGGAATTGTTTGTAAAGACACTGGCACACCTCTCCTTTGTGCAACCACTTGTCTTCTTTTTTCAGTGACCACCCCAGCTTGACATGCTTGTCCCCTAATACCCTTCCCCTTTTTAGGCTACAGATTTATTAGCTCCTACTGGCACGGTATTTTTTTAAGCAGTACTGCTGGAAGAAGCAGAGAAAAAGAAGCCTTATTTTAAAGGCAGTGCAGTGCCTGCCTGGAAGCCCCTTTCCCAATCCCGATCCAAGTGTGGGAGGGTATGTTTCTTTAAGGCTGGTTATGTGTTCATGTAACAAGGCAAGTGCATACGTGAAACGAGCTTCTCCCGAAGCTTTAAGTCTGCAGGGAATTTTCTAATGATCGTTTTTAGTTAATAGGCACAAGTTGTTAGCCTGAGCTGGGAAAGCCTTTTTTTTTTTTTTTTTTTTTTTTGCACGAGCCAATTCCACCCCCTCTTTTTTTTTTTTTTCTTTTTTTTTTTTTTTGTCATGGTTTTAGTTCCCACAGCTAACGCACCTAATAATGAGACTGGGCAAGCGAATGCCGGCCTAATGATATGGAGCTCGTTTGGCCCTGACAAAGCACACAGAGCGCCTGGATGGCCTAAACGACAGGCCAAGGGCTCTATTCATCCCAAAGGATCTCTCGCCCTGCGTGCCACCGAATCCCACCGAGGGAAAGCCGCACCTCGGGCCGAGGTGTCCGGCATCTCCCCTCACGGTGCCGCCCCGTCACTAAATGAGGGGTGAAACACAGCAACGCTTCGAGGGTTAAGCCCTTGGCTGAATATTTTAATTGCTGTTTCGTAACACACACACATACACACGCACCAGCCAGTTGGAGCGAGGGAAAAAAACATCCTTTAAAACTTACCAGACAGGTTACAAGGACCTGGCTGAGCCGCGGCTCCCTCAGCCCGGGCGGACGGCAGGGGGTGGTGGTCTGTCTTTGGAACCGGCATTTTCCCCTCAGCGCTTTCCCGCTGCCCTTCCCCTCCTCTCGCCAGCCGGGTTAATAAACACCTAGCGGCTTCCTCCGTGGCGTCTGTGTGCAAACAGCTCCCACTGAGCCAGGGAAAACTGTCCCTGCAGGAATTCCATTAGAGCCTTTTCCACCTTGGCCTCCCAGAGCACGGCACAAAGGAAGGTGCTGTGCGTGCATTCAGCCCGTGGGACGGACAGGCCAGCCCGGATCCCTTCCCATCGTGTCCGGCCACTTCAGTCACTGCCCCGCTGCTTCTGGGGCTTGGCTCCCGTTTTCCCCTTGTCACAGCTCACTAAATACTCCTCAATTCAGGGAGCTCCGGGCGTGAGAGAAGAGCAGGTTAAAATTGCTGTGGGCATGATAGGGCTGGCAGCAGATGGAAGCTCAGTGGTGTCCTAGAAGACCCCACTACTACTCCTCTTTAACAGGGATCAAACCAGAGGAAATTACGGGCTAAATTTGTCTTTGATTACAAAGATTTCTTTTTAAGTAGCTCTATGGATAAGTAATTTGAGAGAAACCATTTACTCTAATGTATTTTACCTCTTACAGAATTTCTGCCAGGAAATTAATCAGAATCTCGCTGCTCTACAAAAATATCCAGCACTGAGGAGGTTTTTTTCATAGTTTACATAATATTGCATTATTTTAAACAGATTTTTCTCTTTTCTAGAGGAAATAATTTGCTTTGGTGTAGCCAAGTCTATGCCGTGTTCCTTGTCCTGAGCTGGATGACCATGAACTCCAGTATCCGTATGTGGAAATACAGATCCATCCAAGGCTGAAATGTGTATAGACTGGTTGTTGGTGATAAATAAACTGTGAATGCTCACAGAAAGCTGACCTGAGGGTCATACATTAGTATGACTGGAGCAAATTCCTGTATGGATTTTAATGAACTCTCATGGAGAAATGTTTGCAGAACCAGTTTGATCTCAAAGTGTCTGATGAGATGCTTCCATGTACAATCAGTACTTGACATATTGGCAGGATGTCCATAAAACTGACTTGCACACTCTTTATGATCTTGTTATGAGGCACAGGGGAGATGCCATTACACAGATACATCTTCTTTGCTTCCCTCAAAAGAAAATTACCCAGCTTTGCCTGTGGTTATGACAGGCAGGGAGATGGTACATGAGGGTATGGATTCTACTTTGCTACTGCAGGCTCTAGAAGGAAACTCTCAAGAAGCAATAGTCTGGGTTAGAGGTAGCATTGAGGTGTAGCATTATTATTTTTTTTTTAATCAGAGCCTTTTACTGTACTCTATAAAAACCCCCATTAGCATTTTCTTTTCAGATGCTCTGCTACAGCACAGCTGCTGTGACTCTGCAGTCAGGAAAGCAGAACTGGTGTGACTGCAATTCAGGAAAGAAACTGAAAAGAGAGAGAGAGAGAGAAAAAAAAGGCTTTCTAAGACAGCTTGAAGAAAGCATGCCAATTAAATTTTTAAAGACAGACAGAGGGTAGGAAGAAAAAAAAAAGGAGCTAAAAATCTGGAGGAACCTGAAGAAAGTTGGGGAGGGGAGAGGGGAAGAAGGAGTGCAAGAGAACTATAGAAATGAGAAATAGGATGAAGTGAGGAAAGTTAAGGCATTGTGCAGCAGCAGCACACAGATTGAAGCTAATTACTGAGGGAGAAGGAAAGGAGGACCAGAAGAGGACATATGATGAAACAAGGAAAGAAGTCCTTACAAGAAAAGAAGAGAATCCACACAGAAACAAGAGAGCAAGCAAAGAGGAATGTGACCAGGACAAGAAACCTTTCTTAGGGCAGTGCTGTGTGACTGAGCAGGAAGGCAGGGAACGAGTGAGACAGGATGTGTGTACAGGATGTGGGACACATTTTCCCATTGTTCTCTCCACTAAGCATTCGAATTTCACAAGCAATGGCTTTGCACTTGGTGGGGAGCCTCGAGTGTCACATCCCACTGGTGGGGGTAGAAACAGCCATTCACCTGCTCAGGTGCAGTGAGGAACCCTCTGGCACCATCATGGAACCTCCAAGGATAAGTGTCTCCAGGTGGAGCAGGGTCATCCTGCAAGCCTTGGATGTTCACTGCACCTCTTATTGCAGTGCTGTGTATTCCACATGGATGTGACAGAGAGTAATTCCTAGCACAGTGGCTGTGCTGTGACATTTAAAGCCCAGGATTCAAGTTGTATTTCCTACAAATGACATTTCTGAGGCTCCCTTGCATTTCCCATCCAGCTCAGTTTAATCACATCCTGGGATAAGAGAAAGGGGAGCAGTTTCTCCCCATGCTTCTCTCAGAGATCCTCTGTGTCACAGCTGCAATGGAAACCTCTCTTCTGGCCAAGGAGAGAAAAAAGTCTTAGGAACACTTGTGGGCACCTAGAGGCACAGCCAAACACCCACAGAATTTCTCAGGAATACCTCAGCTGCCTCGGTGCTTTCCTAGTGCCTGTCTTCATCCTAAGGTGCCTACATGCCTTTGAAAAGTTGGCCTTTAGCCCCTTATCCTTATAAAAGTATTTCCCCTGGAATAAATGACAGGCAATTAGTTTAAGAATGAGGCACTCCCTTTTAAATCCAGTACAAACAGTGAGAGTAGATCAATCACCACAAGACCAGTGACTCCAAATAGATATTTCGCCAAAGTAAATCATAAGAATATAATTTTTAAGGTGCCTATGTTAATGCATGGATAAAATGTTTAAATCCTATTAGAGAAGTTTTTTAAATATAGTTCTCACTTAGCAACTATTTTCCAAAATAAAGGTACTAATGTCAGAGTTAAGGTATGCTAAGAAAGAGGTTTTATGAAAGCTGATGATATGTCCTGAGATACAGATGTGAATGAACAATTAGAGGTTAAAAATACTAAAAATCTTATAATATTTTAAAAACCAAACATAAAATACATCAACTAGCTGGGGCAAGGAAGACAATTCCTTCACAAGTACAGTGGTGCAAAGTTTTTCATTATAAATTGCTTGACCAACCACTTTCATAGATATCAAATCAGAGAGATAAAATGTGATAATCCCCATAGAGATGACTTTCATGTCTTTCTCCATACATTAATGTCCATTGATGCTCATTGACAAAGCTTCTCAATGACCACCAGTTATAGAAAAACATTTGCTAATTCAAGCATTCAGGGATGAATAACTGCTAGGGAGGAATGAAATCCATTAACAAATGAGGACAAGGAAGAGGAAGTTCAAAAGAGCAACAGTGAACTCCTTTTCAAAATGTATCATCAGGACAATAAGCTGGAGTTCTCTGAGAAGGACCGAGCATCCTGTGAATATAAACTGTTGGTAAATGGCAGGAAAGAGACCTCCTGGCACTTGTGAACATGCAAGAAACATCTGGTGCTGGCCACAGTCATCCCAAACCTCAGCTGACACACGGAGCATAGTGACACCCTGCACTTCAGATGGCAAGCAGCCAGGGGACATTTCAAAATCAGAGGATGAGAAGTTGCAGGAGATGTCTCTGGATTTTAATCTGTCATGTGCTTATCCAGCAAAATAATAAAAAAACAATTGATCAATCAAATCTTCCATTTTGCCGAAAATTGAATGGTTTTGACTAGGCAGAAAACCCACTGAAATCTGTTGAGATTTATTTACCTTGTTGTAATTTTCATTTTTTTGGCTGTAAACAAAAAAAAAAAAAACAAAACAAAAAAAAACAAAACAAACAAAAAAAAACCAAACCCTGATGGTGATTTACATATTTTCAAGCACCAGCTCCATTTCTAGAAGGTGTTCCAAAAAATAGCCAAATGCTCAATACCCAAGTGTGGGACAAGTCTAATAGTTGCTTTTCAGGAGTACTCAGGGGGGCAGAAGTGGAAAACGGGTGCTGTGGTATGAGTTGTGAGTCTCTCCACACTAGGAGAGGAATGGGTGAATAACTGAGGAGAGAGGGGAAATAGTCAAAAGAGGCAGTGCTGTTGAAAACAGAGAGGAAATAAAATACCTTTGTTTAAAAACATGCTTTCTTCAATCAAGCCCTTTCCACTGTTTATTTTGACTGATTATGTTACAGCACACAACACAGATGATCACAATGATATCTTCTGGCCTTGTATCATGACCACAAGACTTTTAGCTCTGTTTCTGGGAATGGCATCCTCAGGTGACAACCACATCTCCCAGACCCACACACTGAAAGCTCTTGTGAAGGAACAGAAAACTAGGTCACCCAGAGGAGGCCTCCTCTGAGGAGAATACCTTCACCATAAATATCATGGTGGGTGTAGAAGACACAGAGGCAAGGACTGAAAGATCCCGTGCTTGGTGGTCCAGCTTTCAGCTCCCTGTAGTGACACCAGGGCTCTACCTATTGAAATTACTGCAGTTTGAGCAGTTAGGACTCTCAAAAGAACATTCCTTCCCATTCCTCAAGCTGTTGCCAAGATTTTCTTTATGCTGTCAGAAAGGCAAGGAGCATCACCAGTGTAAAGCATGTGCCAAGCAAGAGAGAAACCAGACTTCTTAGGTTCAGTTTTTGCACTCAGAAAATAGGACAGCTGCAGAGGCTCAGCAGTAAGATGTGGTGTGAGCAGCAGTGGCCCCAAGACACAGGGGCTGGTGACAGAATCACACATCAGTGTAGAACAAAGCATGGGTGAAGAATTTTCACACTGGAAATGTGCTTCAACCTCATAACAAAGAAACAGCCTTCTGTGAAACCCAAATATAGGTTTGAACTTGCTGTTCCTTCAGAGCGTGGGTATGTTCAGTGAGCTCCCTACTTCATTTTGGTATCACTGTCTAGCTAACTAGCGCTGAAAAGATATATGTTTATGTAAATACCTTGGCTGCTTCTCTGATCATGTCTCAAGAAGAATCCCAGTTTATTCATTTATTTTTGTGGGTGAGAAGGTGCATCCTCATATTCTTTAGGAACACTGGTTCAAGTTCTCTCTCACGTGCCAGCAAGGAAATTTGGCTTCCACATTGCAGCTGCAACATTTAGTCTTATCCTGTGGTTGTCTTTTTACCAATTCAGCCCAAAGCATGACATTCCCTCTGCATTTGTACCATGTTTCTGGTACAAACACCATGGCCACCAGCAGAGTTGTGATCCAGAGCTCTGGAGACACAGATCCTCATCAGTCAGGCTGGGGAATAATCATAGAATCATGGAATGGTTTAGGTTGGAAGGAAACTTAAAAACCATTCCATTCCAACCCGTGCCATGGGCAGGGACACCTTCCACTACCCCAGGTTGCCCAGAGCCCCATCCACCCTGG